GCCGAAGGCAGCGGCTTAACCCACTGAGCCACCCAGGCGCCCCCATTTGTATCTTTAGGGTAAATACCCAGTAGTGCGATTGCTGGGTCATAGGGTAGCTCTGTTTTCAACTTTTTGAGGAACCTCCATGCTGTTTTCCAGAGTGGCTGCACCAGCTTGCATTCCCACCAACAGTGCAGGAGGGCTCCCCTTTCTCTGCATCCTCGCCAATACTTGTCGTTTCCTGACTTGTTAATTTTAGCCATTCCGACTGGTGTGAGGTGGGATCTCATCATGGTTTTTTTTTTTTTTAAGATTTTATTTATTTATTTGACACAGAGAGATCACAAGTAGACAAAGAGGCAGGCGGAGAGGGAGAGAGGGAAGCAGGCTCCCCGCTGAGCAAAGAGCCCGATTAGGGACTCGATCCCAGGACCCTGAGATCATGACCTGAGCCGAAGGCAGCGGCTTAACCCACTGAGACACCCAGGCGCCCTCATCGTGGTTTTGATTTATATTTCCTGATGCTGAGTGATGTGGAGCACTTTTTCATGTGTCTGTTGGCCATCTGGGTGTCTTATTTGCAGAAATGTCTGTTCATGTCCTCTGCCCATTTCTTGATTGGATTATTTGTTCTTTGGGTATTGAGTTTGTTAAGTTTTTTATAGATTTTGGATACTAGCCCTTTATCTGATATGTCATTTGCAAATATCTTCTCCCATTCTGTCAGCCGTCTTTTGGTTTTGATAATGGTTTCCTTTGCTGCGCAAAAGCTTTTGATCTTGAAGTCCCAATAGTTCATTTTTGCCCTTGCTTCCCTTGCCTTTGGCGATGTTCCTAGGAAGAAGTTGCTGTGGCTGAGGTCAAAGAGGTTGCTGCCTGTGCAGCCTGTGTTCTCCTCAAGGATTTTGATGGACTCCTATCTCATCCATTTTGAGTCTATTTTCATGTGTCGTGTAAGGAAATGGTCCAGTTTCATTTTTCTGCATGTGGCTGTCCAATTTTCCCAACACCATTTGTTGAAGAGACTGTCTTTTTTCCATTGGACATTCTTTCCTGCTTTGTGGAAGAGTAGTTGACCCTAGAGTTGAGGGTCTGTTTCTGGGCTCTCTATTCTGTTCCATTGATCTGTGTGTCTGTTTTTGAGTCAGTACCATACTGTCTTGATGATGACAGCTTTGTAATAGAGCTTGAAGTCTGGAATTGTGATGCCACCAACTTTGGCTTTCTTTTTCATCATTCCTCTGGCTATTTGGAGTCTTTTCTGGTTCCATATAAATTTTAGGATTATTTTTTCCATTTCTTTGACAAAGTTGATGGGATTTTTTAAAAAAGATTTTATTTATTTATTATTTATCAGAGAGAGAGAGAGAGAGAGAGAGAGCACAAGCAGGTAGAGGGGCAGGCAGAGGCAGAGAGAGAAGCAGCCTCCCCATCAAGCAAGGAGCTGGATTCGGGACTCGATCCCAGGACCCTGGGATCATGACCTGAGCTGAAGGCAGGCTTAACGGACTGAGCCAACCAGGCGTCCCAGTTGATGGGATTTTGATAGAGTTTGCATTAAATGTGTAAATTGCTTTAGGTAGCATTGGCATTTTCAAAATATTTGTTCTTCCAACCCATAAGCATGGAATGTTTTTCCATTTCTTTGTGTCTTCCTCAATTTCTTTCATGAGTACTTTATAGTTTTCTGAGTACAGACTCTTTGCGTCTTTGGTTAGGTTTATTCCTAGGTATCTTATAGGTTAATTTCTCTTTTTTTCTTTTTTTGAAAAGATTTTTATTTATTTGACATACAGAGAGAGAAATCACAAGTAGGCAGAGAAGCAGACAGAGAGAGAGGAGGAAGCAGGCTCCCTGCTGAGCAGAGAGCCCGATGCTGGGCTCGATCCCAGGACCCTGAGATCATGACCTGAGCTGAAGGCAGAGGCTCAACCCACTGAGCCACCCAGACACCCCTTAATTTCTCTTTCTTCTGTCTTGCTGTTTGTGTATAGAAATGCAACTGATTTCTGTGCATTGATTTTACATCCTGACAGTTTACTGAATTCCTGTATGAGATCTGCTTTGGAGTGGAGTCTTTTGGGTTTTCCACATAAAGCATCATATCATCAGGCAGTCACAGTCTTTTGGTGACAATCATTCCACTATTTTTTGGCTCTCAGTATTGGGGTTGGGAAATCAGATGTTAATCCTTTCAAAGCAAACTGACTTTCCTTGCTGGCTACATTAGAAATTTCCAGTGCCTTTTGTGATCTGCAATTTCACTGTTACTTGGCTATGTGTGAAATTTTAGTGTATCTAGCTTAAAATTTGGGGAGAACGTGGATCTGAGGGTTGGTGTATTTCATCAGTTCTAGAAAGTTCTCATCCATTTTCTGTTCAATCATAGCCTCTTCCTTTTCCCTTTTCTGGAACTCCAGCTAAATGTCTACTATTTTCCGTGTGTCTTACCTTGCCTGTAATTTCCCTGTTTGTCTCCTTGTGCCACATTCTTGACATCTATTTTTTTTTATTTTTAAAAAATTTATCTGAGATAGAGCAAAGCACAGAGGGAAATACAGGCTCCCTGCTCACCAGGGAGCCAGGTGTGGCGCTGGAATTCAGGACAGCAGGGTCATGACCTGAGCCAAAGGTAGGCGCTTAACCGACTGAGCCACCCAAGTACCCCTCTTTATGATTTCTCTGATCTCTTCCAGTTTGCTAATTCTCTTATTAAGCTGTTAAATCGACTCAGTAGCTCTACATTTTAATTTTTAATGTAAGATTAATTAATTTTTGTTTTGAATTTATAAAATCTCCTTTGGTTCTTTACAGAGACTGCTTAACCTTTTATAGACAGCTGTGAAAATCAATCAAGGAAAGTCTCACCAAAATGGTGTCAGGAGGCCGGTAGGGGGCGCGCTGTGGCCAGCCCTGGTTATCGATTACAGACCCAACAGGAACAGAGGCACCTCGCAGGAGGGTACCACTTCACGAAGCGAGCTCCTGGACCGAAGGTTTCCTGCTGCCCCGGCAACAGCCCAGCCAATGAGAGACGGGCACAGCCCAGCCAATGGGAGACGCGCGCAGCCCGCGGCTCCCGCTCTGGGCTTCCGGGTTGGCGCGGGAGGCCGCCGCGCGGACGTGAACCGCGGACACACGGGACTGGGCGGTCACTGCGTCGCGTCCCGCCGGTGAGCGAAGGGCGGGCGAGCGGCCAACAGCCGCGGCCACGAGGCCCGGCCCCGCGGACGAGCACCCTCGGGCGTCGCAGCTGCGGCCCAGCGCACGGAGATGCCGGGCCCCCGGCGTTCGCGCCGCGTCCGTCCCGTCGTCGCTGCCGGCCGGCCCGTCTGCAGGAGCTGGCGACCCCCGGCTGCGCGCACGGCCCCCGAGAGGGAGCCCCTCCTTGCTGTGCGGGCCGCCGGGCCTCCTGTCCCGGGCGCGGGCCGCTGCTGCTCCCGGCGTCCGTCTCTGCCCGCCAGGCCGCCGGCCGCTTGGGGCTAACGGGGCCCACCCGCGAGCTCCGCCGCGCTTTCCCCGGAGCGCTCCGTCGGGCCGCGGAGCCGGGTGCCAGAGGTCGTCACGTGGGAGGAGCGAACTAGAGAAGCCTCAGCTGATGCGGACGGCGGCCCCCGGGAGCAGCTCTCCCGCCCTGTCTCCGGGGTGAGTCCCAGAACCCACCGCCCCTCAACCAATCGCAGGGTGTCCTGGCGGCCCGGGCCCGCCCCTCAGCGCCTCACCCAATCCCAGGGTGGGCTGGCGGCCCGGTCCCGCCCCCCCCAGCGCCCCTCCCAATCGCAGGGTGGGCTGGCGGCCCGGTTCCGCCCCTCAGCGCCTCACCCTGTCCCAGGGTGTCCTTGCGGCCCGGTCCCGCCCCTTAGCGCCCCACCCAATCCCCTTGTGCTCCCGTGACCAGGTTCCGCCCCTCTCAAGCCTCACCCAGTCACCGTGCGTCTCCGCTGCCGGCCTTTTCCTGGCCGGAAGCAGTCCGCGGACGTGCCTGGGGGAATATGGAGGCGCTGCTGAAGCGGGAGCTGGGCTGCGACTTCGTCAAGGCTACGGGTCACTCGGGGGGCGGGTGCATTAGCCAGGGCCAGAGTTACGACACGGACAAAGGACGCGTGTTTGTGAAAGTGAACTCCAAGGCGGAGGTCGGGGCCGCCGCGGGCCGGGTCAGGGTGGGCGGGTGGGCGGGTGGGGGGCGGTCGGCGAGTGGCGTCTGGGTGGGGCTCCGGGCCCAGGTCTGGGGTCGGAGGTCGGGGTTCGGGCTCTGGGGTGGGCGCGGGAGTGCTCAAGGCCCGGGCGGGGTCTGCACGGCAGGGCCGCGGGGCGGTGGTGCTTGCTGCCCCCGGGCCGTTGGGCGGTGTCCGCGGTTCCCAGGGTCGCGCCCGCAGCTGAGCCTTGGAAGCCCCTGGGAGGGTAGCGCGCCCCGTGGGCGGCCGTCTTGGGACCCCTGCGCCGCGCTGCCGCGGGGACGGCAGTTCTGGGGCGGCCGGGGGTGTGGCCGCCGCGGGTCTGAGCGGGCCCGGCAGTGGCAGCGTCTTGTCCCGGGGTTTACTGGGACGGGCGGCGACCGGGATGTCTGTGTTGTTGGAAATCCTCGAGCCGCTGCCTCTGGGAGTTTGGGCCGCGGGACCACGGACCCGCCAGTGCCGGCGTCTCCGCTCTGGGAGCGGGTGTCCGCTGAGAGCCCACCGCCACGCTGCGAGGGGGGCTTCTCCCTGTTCTCAGTGTCGGGGGCGAGGGAGCGCCCTGGGGTCTCTGTGTCAGAGCACCAGCCCCACCAAGCGGGCTCCGGCCCCGGGAGCCCAGTCACCTCCAGGGCTCTCACTCCAGGTCTCACTGGGACTTAGGTTTTGACAGAGGAACTGGGCAGGGGGCGCCGGCTTTGGCCCACTGTAGCCCCTCACTCCAGGAAGTTCTGTCTGTACACGAACCTTCTCACAGGGGCCCCGAGACGACAGGGGAGCCTCAGTGCTGAAGCCGTACTTCCCCCGGTGCGGCTGTCACTTCTGTGCCCGTTTGCGTGGGTCACGCCGGTGCTGTTAGCGGGAAAGCCCGGGCTGGCTCCAGGAGGCAGTGGGCAGCTGGGCAGTGGGTTGTTTCAGATGGGGCGGGAGGGGCTGGCCCCAGTACCCCGTCCTCAGGTCACAGCCGTGCTGCGCCTTCATTCTGCCCCTGGAGAGCATTCTTGCCGTGATTTCCACTTTCTTCCCAGATGTGACGCCCGCTGTCCGCGAGAGCCGGTGAGCTCTTTCTGAGCCGACCCCACTCCACGCTCCGCTCTGCGGGGACGAGCTGCCACACAGCCTACGCACAGCCTTCTTGCAGGCGTGTGTCCGCATTGGTGCTTGGAGTCACCTCAGCAGCCCTCGTGCTGCCCCTCCCCACGTTCTCTGTGGGGCTTCTCTGCTTTCTGGCTTTGTTGTCCCACATAGGTGGCATCTGGCCCCTTCCTGTGTGTATTTCCACCTTCAGAGTCATCTCTGCACCCAGCGTGAGGTCAAGAGCCACCTGTTCCACCGACGGAGGTGGCCAGGTGCCCCAAAGTCCACACTCTTCTTGCTGAACCTTCTCCCCGGAGTTCCTTCTGGTCCTTTGGCAGGTGGTTCTGCACGCGCGCTTTTCTGGCTTTGTGTGGACACTGCTGTGAGTGGTGGTGCCCTGGCACAAGCATCTGCTGGCCGCATGAAAACAGGACTTCCTTCTGTGCCTTCCCTTGTAGGGCGTGGAGATAGCTCCCACCCTGCTGCAAGAAGACTAGTGATTGCGCCTGTCTTTTCCCTCACAACCCCGTAAACTGACCTGCTCGAAGCAAGATTATTCTTATCTGTCTCGGTGCCTGCGGTTGGGTCCCTCCTGCTCCTCCCTTAAGCTCCAGAGCTTTTTTGGAGCACTGTGGGCCCCCCCCCGCCTACTTCCCTCCCTCTCCTCTCGGGGACCCACAGACACTTGTGTGGGGGAGGCTTCACCTCTGGCTGCATTCACAGATCCTCTCCACCTGCCCCCGATGGTTACCGATCTTATTCTCCCCTTACTCGGCTTTCCCGGACCAGTGCTTTGGTACAAAGCAGCCAGTGCCGTTAGCTGTCCGCAGTAGTGGGATGACGATGACGTGTTTACAGAGTGTTCAGAAGGGGCTGTGCCAGTGTTAGCGGCCAGCTCAGTTGCTCAGGGCCGCGAGCCTGGGAACTTGGTCCCCGGTATTAACCCACTTTACGGGGGAGGGGGCAGGTGTGGGGAATGTGAGCAGCTCGGCCGGGGTCGTAGACCCAGTCCTGAGAGTATGGAGAGGAACGTTCCTGGCAACACTTCCTCTTAGCGCCACGAAGCTGCCCGGCTGCTGGTCGGTGCCCTGGGCCCTCCCGTTCTGGGGAGCTGTGCCCGGCCGTGAGAGTAAACTCTGTCAGTGCACCAGCAGAACAAAGGCAGCGGGACAAAGCAGCCAGACTGCTTGCTCTGCATGTAGAAGGACAAAGCAGACGTGACCCATCCGTGGTGATGGGGATGCAAGGGGCTGGGGAGCAGAGGGGCCTCCGGGCGACAGCGTCCTGTCTGTGTGTGGGGGCAGTCCTGCAGTGCACAGCCTTGGTGAAAACTGGAGTCATGTGCTCCCATTGGTGCCTTTTTCTTCTCATACTTCTGTAGCATTTTGACGGGGAAAAAAAAAAAAGCTACTCTAAAGGGAGTAGTTACTTAGTCTGGGAAGTGAGGGAAGGTTTTTCTGAGAAGGCAGAAATCTGAAGCATGATGAGGAAGGGTCTCCCTTGTCAAAAGGTGGGGGTGGGGCTGCGAGCAGAGGCACTTGGCCTCTTTGAGCTGTGGGGAACTAGAAGAAGACCATAGTCCAGGGGCACGGGGGTGTCTATGCGTGTGCTGGTGTGTGCACATGTGGGCGTGGAGGTGTAGGAGGGAGCCCAGGAGAGCACAGAGAGCAGGCAGGGCCAGACCCCATGGGGCTCACACAGGTTGCTAGCTCAGGCGTGTTCCAGGCAGGGATTTGCCGTCAGTAACGGTACCTGCCAGGGTGAGCAAGGAGGTGAGGGGAAGGACAGTTGCTGCCGTCTGGGGGAGACTGGAAATGGTGGTTAAGATGGGATGGTTTCCAGTGTGAGGTCAGAGGTGCCCTCAAACCTGGTGAGAGGTGACCTCAGGTGTGTAGCATGTGCAGGTGGAGGGCCAGGTGGCACAGGACTGTGGCCAGGGTACCGTCAGATGATGGCCCACATGCATAGTCCAGCTCTGCACCAGATGTTCGGTGAAATTTTAGAGGCCTTCCCCTTCCCTCTCTGGAGAGACTCAGCGAGAGTGTAGAAGAGGGTCCAGAACACGACAGTGCGACCCCACTTCCTCCTGGGCCGGTTCAGTGCGCAGCCTGCTCTGCTGGAAAGCCCGAGAATCTGTGTCTGTCGGGTCTGCAGTCAGGTGGCGTCTGCTTCACATTGCGACGCTTGAGGAAACGTGTCCGTGTAACCCCTTTCCAGAAGTCATCCTGCTCTCCGTTCTCTCTCCCTCCTCCATTATTTTTCGGAAAGGCCAAAAGAATGTTTGAAGGTGAGATGGCAAGTTTAACTGCCATCCTGAGAACGGACACCGTGAGAGTGCCCAAGCCCATCAAGGTCCTGGACGGCCTGGGAGGCAGCAGCCTGCTGGTGATGGAGCACGTGGACATGCGGTACCTGAGCAGGTCTGTCTGGGCACCGCCCCCCCCAACTTGGCTTTGGTTCTTTTTTTTTTTTAATACAGATTTTATTTATTTATTTGACAGACAGAGATCACAAGTAGGCAGAGAGGCAGGCACAGAGAGAGGGGGAAGCAGGCTTCCTGCTAAGCAGGGAGCCCAGTGCGGGGCTCAATCCCAGGACCCTGAGACCATGACCTGAGCCGAAGGCAGAGGATTAACCCACTGAGCCACCGTCTCTCTCTCTCTCTCTTTTTTTTTTTTTTTAAGCATTTTTTGAGTCTTGAGGTTTTTTTTTTTTAAGATTTTATGTACTGGAGGGGCACCTGGGTGGCTCAGTGGGTTAAAACCTCTGCCTTCGGCTCAGGTCATGATCCCAGGGTCCTGGGATCGAGCCCCACATCGGGCTCTCTGCTCAGCGGGGAGCCTGCTTCCTCCTCTCTCTCTGCCTGCCTCTCCGCCTACTTGTGATCTCTGTCAAATAAATAAATAAAATCTTAAAAAAAAAAAAAAGATTTTATGTACTGGGGTGCCTGGGTGGCTCTGTGGGTTACAGCCTCTGCCTTCGGCTCGGGTCATGATCCCAGGGTCCTGGGATCGAGCCCTGCCTTGGGCTCTCTGCTCAGCGGGGAGCCTGCTTCCTCCTCTCTCTCTGCCTGTTTCTCTGCCTACTTGTGATCTCCGTCTGTCAAATAAATAAAAATAATAATAATCTTTAAAAAAAAAAAAAGATGTACTTATTTCAGCAAGAGAGAAAGAGAGAACACAGCGGGGAGGGCAGAGGGAGAGGGAGATGCAGACTACCCTCCCCGCCGAGCCGGGAGCCGGGTGTGGGGCTCGATCCCAGGACCCTGGGACCATGACCTGAGCTGAAGGCAGAGGCTTCATGGACTAAACCCCCAGGCGCCCCATGGCTCTGTTTCATTTCTGAGTCTGAGCCCCTTCATACCTGAAAGCTCGCATCGAGGTATCACTTTGAGGGACCTGTGACCCCACGCATCACGGGCTGTGGACCTAACCTGAACCCTAACCCTCGGCTGTGCAGATGGGAAAGGAATCTCCCAAGAGGAGATGTGGACAAGGGACCCAGCTGCCCAGGAAAGGCTGGGAAAGAGCACCAGACAACCAGGGCCCTTCATTCCCCTCTCGGTCACTGAAGCTGACTTTATGTCCCCTTGGCTTGCTTTCCATGGCCTGAGACTGTGCACGAGGCCGTGACCCCACGATGATGTGCCCCTTGCTTGACTGATGCTCTCCCTTTCACAGCCATGCTGCCAAGCTCGGAACCCAGCTCGCAGACCTACACCTAGACAACAAGAGGCGTGGGGAGACCCTCCAGAAGGAGGCTAGCACCGTGGGTATGCAGCTGTGTGGGCGTGAGGGCCCCTCGAACACACTTGGCCGGCATGGGCATGTGGGTGGGTCTGTGTTGATGCTTGAGGAGAGGAGTGTCACCCCGAAGGCTAGGGACACAGTGGACACAGGGAACGTGATTCTGTACCGTGACGTAGCGTGTTTGGAAGAAGAAGTTTTCCCCCGTCCTGTTACGGTTCCTTTACCCCTCCTGCCCCAGAGGAAAGCCTGTCAGAGCTGCAGTGGCTTTCTGTGCTGTGCCTCCTCTCCTGAGAACGGCCACACGTGAGGCACAGCCCGGTGGCCCTCACGTCCAGCCTTCGTAGAGCTTAGCGCTTCCAGTGTTCTCGTCTTCTGATGTTTGGTAATCTGCGTGCAGCCCTGGGGTCACTGTGCGGGCAGAACAGCTGACACACCAGGGGTGGACGGCCAAGGCTGCTGTGTCAGATGGGTCCTGTGGCACCCTGCCCCTGCCAGGCCCACGTTGTCCAGGCCTTCGGGGTTTTTGCCTAGTTTGGGGGAGCCGCAGGGGACACCAAGGAGGCCGTTTCACATCAGCTTATTCTTCACAGATGGCCAGGGCAAGGCTGGCCTCCGGGAGCCATCCTTTCCCAATAGGTCACAGGGTGAGCTGCTTTCCTCCTTTCTCAGATGCAGCGTTGTCGCTCCTCTGGGCGGCCTCTGGCGTCTCTCCCGGGCCGTGTGGGTGTCCTGCATCTCTGAGTCCGAGCAGAGCAGGCTGTTCCCGGGCCCTGAGGTTTTGTGGCGACGGGAGCCCTCATTTGTCTCTGGATGAGGACACGAGGGGAAAGGCTCAGCAAGACAGGCCTCAACGCTGTGCTGAGCTCCAAAAGCAGCCAGAGGGAGTGTGGGAGCCAGTCGTCTCTCTTGTCTTTCTTCTGCTTACAAGGGAAAGGAGCCGGGCAGGTGGTACAGCCCTTCATGGACCAGTTTGGGTTTGACGTGGTGACATGCTGTGGATACCTCCCCCAGGTGAGCGACACCAGCACTTGGCCTTCTGCGTTCCCATCAGGTCAGGTCGCCCGCCCAGGGAAGGAACTCACCTCCCCCTTTATGAAATTTAGTAAAAGCCTTCGCTCTCTTTTTCTCTTGGCTGATTTTGAAGAGGTTGATAGGAGGTTTACCTGCCTCACCCGCTAGGTAAGCTCAGATAAACAGGACCAACAAGTCAGGGTGCTGGGTCTCGAGGTGTGGAAACATTAGACTTTGGGGCAGTTTTCTTCCTCCTAGATTCTCAAAGATAGCATGATGTAAGTGGGCTGCACCTTTCAGTTTTATGACCCTGTGGTTGGCTCCCTGGGAATTTGGGCTGCGGCGCTCAACCCAGTGCCCAGCAGATGTTCAACGGGGAGGGCGGGAGTTGTGCCCCCAGACAGTGCAGGTGGCTTCTAGGAAGAGGAAACTTTCAGGGATTCCTGGTAGGCACCGGGGCACGGGAGATACTGTTCAGGTTTGGAATGTGGGGAGGGGCTGTCCAGGAATCTGCTCCAGGTGGCAAGTGCCTGAAGGCTGGTGTTCCCTTGTCCCACCTGCTCCGTGGAACTCTGGGGCCGTTCCTCTGGCTCTGCCCCCTCCTCGCTGGCCTGTGGCTCGCCCAGTGTGTGTACAGACACCTAGGCCTGCGCGCACACGCCTGGGGGAGGGGTTCTGTCTTGTCAGGTGGTGGTGGCTGCCCTCGACGGTGCCCTTGAACTGGGCCTCATGCGGCCCCTCATGTCTTCGCTCTGGGGAGGGCAGTGCTGGCTGCCTGAGTGGGGGCCCCAGAGGGGTCCTTGTGGCCGGGGCAGGCCGGCTCTGGGTGTGCTCCTGCATGAGTGCGGGTGGACAGAATGTGCCCTAGAGCTCCTCAGAGTGGCCTGTGTTGCTCCTCATGGGAGGGTCCCCTGCTTCTGCAACAGGGTGTGAGGTCCCCTTCTGTCCACGAGACACGGTCTGCCTGGTCAGCCACCATGCCTTCCACGGCCCTTAGAGCTGTGCCCTGCTGCTTCGGGCTTCTTCCTTGGGCTCTGCCACTCTCCTCTGTCCACGCAGGTGAACGACTGGCAGGAGGACTGGGTCACCTTCTACGCCCGGCAGCGCATTCAGCCCCAGATGGACATGGTGGAGCAGGGGTCTGGGGACAGAGAGGCCCGGGAGCTCTGGTCTGCTCTGCAGGTGAGTCCAGCCAGGGCCCGACTGGGGAGGCCCCGAGGCAGAAGTGGCCACCGGGGGTCCAGGCCCGGACAGGAGATGGGCTGGCCGGCCAGAGGGGTGGCTGTCGGTGTCCCTCCACCCCGTCCGAGCCGTGTGTGTCCCTGCGCATCCGTGCGCCACACTCTGCTGGGGCAGTTGGGCCACACAGGAAAGCGTCTGTGTCCCTCCCACGTGTGCTGGTTACTTGGCTGAGAACAGGTTTCCTTCCTGCAGCTAAAGATCCCCGACCTGTTTCGCGACCTGGACATCGTCCCAGCCCTGTTGCATGGAGACCTCTGGGGAGGAAACGTAGCCGAGGACTCCTCTGGGCCCATCATCTTTGACCCGGCCTCTTTCTACGGCCACTCGGAGTACGAGCTGGCAATAGCTGGCATGTTTGGGGGTTTCAGCCACTCCTTCTACTCTGCCTACCACCGCGCAGTCCCCAAGGCCCCGGGGTTTGAGGCCCGCCAGCAGCTCTACCAGCTCTTCCACTACTTGAACCACTGGAATCATTTCGGGTCGGGGTATAGAGGGTCTTCGCTGAACATCATGAGGAATCTCACCCAGTGAGCGTCCCTGCTGTGGACGGGCGCCAGGTCCCAGCCAGACGCCTGTCGCCAGCGCCTGCTGCTGCCCCTAGTCCTGTCTGGCAGGGCTGCTTCCCCGAGTCTTCACACGAACCTTTTGCTCCACGGCTGGGTAAAACCACGCTGGGGTGGGTGTGGGCCCCATCGTGCGGGCCCCGTGGAAACGCTGTTGCCTGGAGGCTGAGCCGCAACGGCCAGCTGCTGCTGAGCGCGTGTTCCCTGGCAGCCCCTCCGTCTCCTCTCCGGAGCGACTCTGACGTGGGGAAGATGCCTCCCGGCAGGTTAGACATGGGGGTAGACCTGAAACCAGCACCGCCCTCGGCTTCTCGCTGCCGGGTTCACTGAGCACACTCCCTTCCTTTCCGGCGCTCTGTGCCCTGCCACAGGCCGAGCAGTCTGGAAGTTGGTTCTGGGAGTAACCAAACTGCGGGTCTTGGGTAAGTTTAGGAGCCACTGAGTCCCTCCTGTCAGCACCCCATCTCGCCTGCCCTTGTAAAGCTCGTGAGCTGCTCCTTTGTGTAAAAGCTCTAACCCCGCGGCTCCCGCTTCACGCGGACTGTTCTGAGTGGCACTGATGCTAAGAAAGCCTTTTGCATAAACATTTGAATAAACTTTCATTGATGTCAGTCATGCACGGGATTGTGTATTTCCTTCATTTGCATTGTAACTCAATGTTTATCTTAGGTGTTTGCCAAGAGACCTTTGTAATGCCTTGTGACAAACAGAACCCTTGTTTCTTCTTCTTTTTTTTTTTTTTAAAGATTTTTATTTATTTATTTGACAGAGAGAGATCACAAGTAGACAGAGAGGCAGGCAGAGAGAGAGAGAGGGAAGCAGGCTCCCTGCCAAGCAGAGAGCCCGATGCGGGACTCGATCCCAGGACCCTGAGATCATGACCTGAGCCGAAGGCAGCGGCTTAACCCACTGAGCCACCCAGGCGCCCCAGAACCCTTGTTTCTTAAGAGCAGTTTCTTTCTCGACTGTTCAGTAAGAGAATAGCGCGGAGTTTCCCCCATACGGACACTGTAGCCTGAGGACTGCTTCTCCTGTCTGACCAGATGAGGTGCGTGGGCCGCTCGGGGAGGCCTGGTCACCAGTGGGCTGTAGAGAGAGGTCCCCAGAGGCCCCTCCTGGGAGCTGTGCCATCAGTGAGGGTGTGGCCAGGCCCCAGGCAGGAGGTGGTATCACAGCCGTGCACCCCTGTCTCCTGGCTTTGGGGGTGGTGCAGGACTTGCCAGCTTTTTAAACTCGGCTGCTTGTACGATAGCTCATTCTAAAATACCAACTTTTGGGGGTGCCTCGGTGTCTCAGTTGGTTAAGCGACTTCGGCTGCGGTCATAGTCCTAGGGTCCAGTCCTGCATCGGGCTCCCTGCTCAGCAGGGGGTTTGCTTCTCCTCCTGCCTGCCTCTCCTCCCGTCATGTGCATGCTCTCAGGCCCTCTCTCAAATAAATAAATGAAATCTTAAAAGTTTAAAAAAATAAAATACCAACTTTTATACCTAATTTTGCACCCATAATTTTTTATACGTGTATATATTTTTATATAAAGAGTTGTTATGGGGCACCTGGGGTGCTCAGGTGGTGAAGTGTGGGCCTTTGGCTCAGGTCATGATCCCAGGGTCCTGAGATTGAGTCCCACATCAGGCTTCCTGCTCAGTGGGGAGCCTGCTTCTCCCTCTGCCCCTCCCCCTGCTTGTGTTCCCTCTCAGTCAAATAAATAAATAAAATCTTAAAAAAGTTGTGGGCGCCTGCATGGCTCAGTGGGTTAAGCCACTACCTTCGGCTCAGGTCATGACCTCAGGGTCCTGGGATCGAGCCCCGCATCGGGCTCTCTGCTTATCGAGGAGTCTGCTTCCTCCCCCCTCTCTCTCTCTCTCTCTGCCTGCCTCTCTGCCTGCTTGTGATCTCTGTCTGTCAAATAAATAAATAAAATCTTAAAAAAAAAAAAAGTCAAAATTGTATAAGCTGCAGACCCTGAAGCCCGGAACCTATCCCAAGCTGCTGGTGGGTTGCTGTGTTCCGTGAGAGCCCCTCTCAGCACATGTCATCCCAGCACAGAGACTGCATTGTTCCCTGGGGGTCTGGGCTGACTTGGGGGCAGAGGGGATGAGGTTCTGACCGAGGGCCGCACTTCCAAGGGCAGCTGTGGGATGGGGTCCCGGCAGCGGCCTGCCTCCTGTCCTTGCCAGGGCAGCCTGCTGGCCTCTGGAATATCAGGGAGATTTGGCTAGACACAGGATGAACTTCGGATTCAGCTCCTTGACCCCTTGGCAGCAAGACATTCGAGCCCTTCAGGGCAGCTGTGAGCACCCCAAGGGCTGCCAGAGGCAGGGGTGAGGCGTGTCTCTGGGGCCATTGTACTTCTTACTGAAATGGGAATGTATCCAAACACATCATGGTCTGCCCCTGCCAGAGTACCACCATTTCCACAGAAGGAAGTCCTCAGATAACCGAACTTGACCTTCCCACCTCAAAGCTGCTGCTGCTTTTCTTTTTTAATAGTTTTTTTTTTAAGATTTTATTTATTTACTTGACAGAGATCACAAGTAGGCAGAGAGGCAGGCGGGAGGGTGGGGAAGCAGGCTCCCCGCGGAGCAGAGAGCCCGATGCAGGGCTTGAACCCAGGACCCTGAGATCATGACCTGAGCCAAAGGCAGAGGCTTTAACCCACTGAGCCACCCAGGCGCCCCCCCCACCCCACCCCAAAGCTTCTGAGTGTCCTTTTGATGAGAATGGCCCTGAAACTTTGATGTCTCTGCCTGAAACAGGACGTCAGTTCTGTGCCCTCGATGTGGTCTTTGGCTGCGTGTTCTGTGTCTAGGGGCCTCCGCCGGTGGTGCCCTCCCAGTTTTTGCCCTGTATGGGATCATGAGTTCCGTTTATCATTACCACAGTAATGGTAGGGCACAGGACCAGCACAGGAGGCTCTTAGGTTAGCCACTCGAGCTTTGGATCCCTCTTTCATAAAGGGGGCTAATAATGACACCCACACGCTGTCCCAGTGCCGGCCTGTGGGTGCTGCTCCTGGCTCCCCACTTGCGGGGGACACTTCCTCGTCCTTCCAGTGGAATGTGCTTCCAAGGCCATCTTGCATCAGATAGCCTGTCTGCTGCGTGGGTTCCCTCTCGGGCAGAAGAATTGCTCACACTGGAATATGTGCAGAAACAGCACAGAGATGAAGGCCTCTGAGTTCTGAAGAGGTGGCAGAATTCCCCTCCCTTTCTCAGAGCAATCATCTGCCTGAGGGCCATGGCCCCAGCACAATTCCTGGTGGAGGCCAGAGCGATGGACTAGAAGGGACACCTGGGCAGTGTCTCTGCTGGCTCAGGCTGTAGCCAGGGCCTTAGGACTCCAACCCCCCCACCACCCTGCTGCCTTCCTGGGGTCCTTTTTCTGAGCAGCTTTGCAAAAGCCCTACCCGGCCATGGGCTGTTTTCCTTCTTGGTGTCACTGGACTGTGTCACGGTAAGGGTTCTGAATAGGCAGGGGAGTCCAGTGCATGTGCATGACCCCATCATTATCTCAGTCCCCCTGCCTCAGAAAGGGGACTCAGTTCATGGGGTCGCTTGGATGTCCCTGATCACATCTCCCAACTGAACTTCTAACCAGCTGGTGACCAAAACTCACATGTACCTTTGAGAGGAGAGTGGGGCCAATTTGCAAAGTTACAGTGCTCTCTTTGGCATGTGTCTTCACATGGAGGATGTGGCTGCTCAGATAGGAGCTGGGAGGTCTGGGAAGGGACCCCAAGTGCCTGGGCGTCAGCACCAGTAAGATGCTGTGCCCCTGTCTGGCTGCCACCTGCCACATTCAGACCCTGCTTGGGCAAAACCATGCCCAAGCCTCAGTGAAGACCAGCATCTCCCCCATGGTGCCTGCAGGCTCATGGGTGCCTAACTCTGGCAGCTTTGGGACCCACTTTAGAGCCAATATTTGTAATTCTGAAAAAGAGAACAGAGAAGACAGGGAGGAAACCATAAAGAACTGAAGACAACCTCAGAAGGTAGAAGGACCAAGTTTCTGTCCTGAAACAGCTCACCTGAACTGCCTTGGGGATGGCAGGAAACTTACCCCAGCCACCTCTTGGGGAAACTGTCAGATCCTGGGGACACAGGGAGGACCCTAAAAGCCTCCAGAGAGAGAACAGTTTCCACACAAAGAGAAGAATCAAAGTGGCCTCAAACTTCTCAATACCAAATGAGCCGGAAAGTAATGGAGCAGGACCTTCTTGTTAATGAAGGAACAGGACCTCATTTCCAACCTGGAATTCTATACCCAGCCAAAATGTCAATCGAGAATAAAGACATTTGCAGAAGTGCAAGAGCTCACATCTCTCCATTAGGAACCCTTCCTCAAGATGCAATAAGAAGGTGGGCTTCACCAGGCTGGGAGAAAAAGTGTAGGAGGAGGAAGACATGCAGAGGTAGATGCCTTTTCTACAGATGGACTCATAATCTCTCCCATCCCACCTGCGGTTCTGCAATGACCTTGTGCATGTGTGTGCATGCACATGGGCATGTATATATTTTTAAAGATTTTATTTATTTACTTCACAGAGAGAGAGAGCGAGAGAGCACAAGCAGGGGGAGTGGCAGGCAGAGGGAGAGGAGGGAGCAGGCTCCCCGCTGAGCAGGGAGCAAGGCAGGGAGCCCCAATCTCAAGACTCTGGGACCCTTACCTGAGCTGCAGGCAGAGGCTTCACCAACTGAGTCCCCCAGGCGCCTGGGGCATGTGTGTTTTGAGGCTCCTTTTGAGGGCAGCAGGTCTCTTACCAGGGGTTCCATACTTGGTAGGGTGGGCCACTTGGTATCAGAGCCCCCGGAGCACCCTCGATCTGTGATGGCCACCAAGTGCCCGGATGAACAAGCCCAGCACCGGCGACGGGTTCACTGGACAGAGTCTGGGCCAGGGGATGTGGTCAGGACCCCCAGCCATGTCCCGACAGTGCGAGACCTAGCTGGGCCTGTGACCCGTGTCCCAGGGACAGCGGACCCTACCCTGAACTGTGCCCTGCGTCCCGCTGGGGCTGGGCCGACGTCCAGCAATGGTTCGTGCAGCCTCTGGCGGGAGGTGCTGGCAGGGCGCCCCGTGGGTGGGCCCCACGGAGGGTTGTAGGGCGCCCGGCGCGGACACAGGCGGAGGGCGCCGCCCCCACTCCAGTCTCCACGGAAAGGCCCCGCCGGCCCTCGGCCTCCGGCCGGCTCGGTTCCCCCACGGCGCGAGCGGGCGGGGAGCACGGGGACCAGACGCTGCGGAGGACGGCGCGGAGCCCGCAGGCGGCGCAGCTCCGTGGCCGCCCCCGCGGACAGCGGCCTCTGCAGCGGCGGCTCCGCCCCGGCCCGCGTCTGCGCCATCCGGCCCCTCCCCGCACCCTGCCCGCAGCCGCGATGGAGCAGCTGCTGCGCGCCGAGCTGCGCACCGCGAGCCTGCGGGCCTTCGGGAGCCCCGGCGCCGGCTGCATCAGCGAGGGGCGCGCCTACGACACGGACGCGGGCCCGGTGTTCGTCAAGGTCAACCGCCGGACGCAGGTGCGGCCACGACACCCCCGCGGCCTGAGCCGGAGGCTGGAGAGGGGAGGGCGGGCGCGGGGCGCGGGGCGCGGGGCGCGGTCCTGCCGGGAGCGGGCACCTGCGGGGCCGCGGGGCTCCAGCATTTTCTAAGGACGCGGGGCTTCGTCAGCGGGTTCATAACCCGCGTTCGCTGTCATTTCTCTGCCCACCGAGCGTGGGGGACGCGAGGCTTGGCGTCCTGGAGTCCGGGGCTGCGTCTGCTTCTCCCCGGGCCGGCTCCCGGCTCCCCCTTCCACAGCGCGTGGGTCCGGCTCACCAGGCGGGAGAGGCACCTGGAGGCCAGGTTCGGTGAGGGAGCACGAGGGCCCGACCCAGTCCCCCCGAGTCCTGGCCTGTGCTCGTGTTTGGAGCTGGGTAATGCCTGCTTAGCGTTTGCTGTTAAATACACTTTCCGAACGGAGGAGGTTAGCCTGGGCAAGCGCACCCCGGGTGCTGAGGGTGACTCCACAAGGTCCCCCGTGCCCCATGAGCCAGGGCCTGAGCAGGAGTTGGGGGTGCTGGCTACGGGCTGAAGGACTTGCAGAGAGGCTCCTCCCTGTCCCCCTGCAGCACTGCCCACCTGTGGATGAGGGGTTGGGCCTGGTCCAGGGAACCGTCAGGGAACTTCCTTTCAGAACCGAAAGCTCTCCAAATAAGCCCCCCTCCTGGGAAGCACTTTGGGTTCAGGGTCCAGGCAGGCTGTAGAACCCTCCTCACTGAGTGCTCCCCCAGGCCGGGATCCACCATCTGCCCTTGAAAGCCTGGGTGCTGGCACACAGTAGGTGAGCAGATGGCAGGGGAGGCACTCAGGACACAGGCGGTCTGGAGCCCAGGTGTTCTCTGCTCCTGTATGTTTGGGGGTTCGCTTGCCCTGGGAGCGCCGCTGGGATCGCTGGGGACTGTGGGATGTTCCCTGACACCAGCCACCCCTTCCTTCAGAATCCCAGGTGTGGGCTGGCGGTGTGGAGGACGCCTCTCCTCAGTTTCCCCTTGAGTACTCTGAAGTAAAGGGTGGGATTCTCTGCCCGTGTGGACATAGTACTTTGGCCTCATGAGAAATAATTCTTTAGCCAGAAGTGTTCACATTAATAAACACACTTCTAACCAACTAATAGTGAATATGAGGTGAGAGTTCGCCTGCTCTAAAATCGGGGTATTTGTGGGAAATGTTTCAGAAATGGGACGGCTCCTGCGTCCCAGCAGAGGCTGTTCCCTCTTCTTCCTTGGTGGGGTGTGAGGCTCCTTCCCACCCCCCAGGCCCTGCTGCCTGCTTATCTCTGGGGACAGGCCCTGGACCCGAGCCAGGCCCTGCTGACCTTCCTGCCCTGCCTTCCCTTGCCCCCAGTGTGTGTCCCAGTCACTCAGAGATGCGGCCTCAGGCCCCCCTGTGGTGCTCCTGCCCTGCTGGGATTGCCTGAGGCTGTGAGGTGGGCAGGTAACCTGGAAGGGGACCAGGTCCAGCTCCAGACCCTCCACTAACCCACACTCTGAGGCACCCCACTGTACTCCCTGGCACACCCGGCCCTCCCACAGCCCCCCCCATGGCACCACCCAGAACCTCCACAGCACCCCAGCATACCCCCAGGACTCCCACAGCCACCTGAGGTATCTCACCACCTTCATTGCACCCCATGGTACCTGTGGCCCCAGCAGCATCCTGCAGGACCCCACTGTACCCCCAAGCACACTCGACACTTCCATGGGCTCCCCGCACCCCACCGTATACCCAGCACCTCCAGCACCTCCTCTGCCCTGGGCTTCCCTCCTCTCAGAGGAAGCACTCAGGGCGGGGGCATCAGCGTCCTGCCCACCCCAGGCCCCAGGCACAGCCTCATCCTGCAGCCCCTTCCTATAGGAAAGGGGCCACTTTGCACCCCACTTTCTGAGGAGCTGATGTCTTGCTCTCCAGCTAGTTTTCCGTAGCTGAAGGTCCCGGGTGCTTGGGATCCTGCGCGGCGGCTCCTGTCCAGGGCGGCAGAGGCCCCTGCTGGACTCACGGTGCCTCTTTGGGACGCAGGCCCGGCAGATGTTCGAGGGTGAGATGGCAAGCCTGGAAGCCCTCCAGAGCACAGGCCTGGTGCGGGTGCCTCGGCCCATCAAGGTGATTGACCTGCCTGGAGGTGGGGCTGCCTTCGTGATGGAGCATCTGAAGATGAGGGGCTTGAGCAGGTGCAGGAGTCTGGGGGGAGGGAGGAGGGGCAGAGGGAGTGGGGCGGAGAGGAGTGTTTCAGGCCCCACTGGCTCGGAATTCCCTGCGTGAAGCCGTGACCTCGCCTCTTTCCTCAGTCAGGCGGCCAGACTGGGGGAGCAGCTGGCGGACCTGCACCTTCACAACCAGAAGCTTGGGGAGAAGTCGAAGGAGGAGAGCACAGTGGGTACGTTCGTGCGCTTCTGTGCGCCCTTGCCCCCATCCTGGTGTGCCCGCGGGGGGCCGGCGCTCTGAGTTTTCCCGGGGCTGAGCGGCACCCTTCGCCTGCGGTGCCGCTGTGCAGGGGAGAAGGCTGGGGGCACCCGCAGGTGGGCCGTCGGACTAGCTCTGGACGCGCTCCTGGCCAGCACTTTGGGCCGGGGTGCGGGCAGGGGTCGGTCGGGGACTGCGCCCGTCCGGGTGTCTGCTGCGCTCTGGCATCGAAGAGAAGGACAGCAGCTCTTTCTGCCGACAGGCCGCAGGGCTGAGGGAGCCGAGCCCCGGCACGTGACCAAGTTTGGCTTCCACAGGGTGACGTGCTGCGGCTTCATCCCGCAGGTGAGTGGGGGTGTCCTCTGCGCACCAGGAAGGCGGCCGGAGTTCCGAGCTCCGAGTGTGAGCCTGGATACCTGGGATGGGAGGGCAGAGGTGGAAGTTCGCGGGGCTGGGCTCTGAGGAGGGGGCAAGCTGTGGGACGG